CAGCCAGCCGGAGAGTGGGAAAGCTGCACCCAGAGACACGGAGCACCGGCCCTCCAACACTCCCTCTGCATGAATGTGCTGGGAAGAGAAGCCCCCAGATGAAATGCCAGCACAGACAAAGCCTGCTCAGAAGTCTCTCAAAGTCACTGGCAAAGACCGTTTTTCCAAGAAGCTCCATAAATTTGTTCTCTGCCTTTTTCCAAGAGAGCAGGGAGCAGCAGCCCAGCTGGCACAGGGTGTCAGGGTGCCTGTGTGGATGGTCTCGTGCCCACTGTCCCCCGGCAGGGTGCTGGGTGAAGCTCCTTTTCAGGGAATCATCACCCCAGGGGACCCCACTGCCCTGCCACCACTGCTTTGCAGCTCTCCCTGCCCTGCCAGCTGTTCTGATGCACACTCTGCACCCCGACAGTTTTCTCACGTGTTTGAGGTGGGATAATTGGGGGGAAAGATATATAGATCAGTCACCCAAAACCTCAGCTTGTGACTTGTCCCCCCCTCTGCCCACCTCTGCGTTCCCTTGCCTTGCCTCTCCCTGCCCTCGCCTGGCTCCTGCAGCAACCCGGATTTATTTAGTTTATTTTTATTTCAGCTCTGGTTGGAAACACAAGGTGGTAGGGGGGCAAATGCCACAGTTAAGGCAGCTTCCCCCAGGAGACATGCAGTGGCGACCGGGCACAGATACTGGAAGGGTGCTTTTAAAAACAGCACATGGAAATTCAGTTTATCGGTAGTTATCAGCCAGTATTTATTTAGCCCCAGGAGGTCTCAGTTGTAATTCATCACCAGGGCTGCCATTTAATTGCTCAGTGCAGCCCTGAACCTCATGTATGTGATAGCAGGGATGCTGATAATAGATTTCACAGCTGCATCTTAAATTTCTCTCCAGACTGTGTTCACACCTGAAAAATTATATTGGAGAATGAGACAGACAGAAAAAGGCTACAAGAGGAAACTGGGATGCAGAATACCAGTCTCGAAGTGGGAGACACGGCCTTTTCCCAGGGAGGGTGAGCAGCCTGGCCAGCCTGGGACACAGTCCCTTCGCAGCGGGCATCGGGAGCTCCTGCAGAGCCGAGTGACCGAGGGGCCGGTGGGATTGCTCCGGGCTGCGGGGAGGCTGCAGCTCAGCAGGTATTCTCTAGGAAGCCATAGGGCCAGGGCAAGCATCCTTGGTAGCCCACTGTCAGCAGCACCAGCCAGGACCACGGGTACCTGTGCCCTCAGCACAGCACCATGTGCCAGCAGAGGACCAAACAGCCCCTCCTATCCCACCTTCCTTTCCCCATTTATTTAGCAGATACTTTTTCCAGCAATACTTATTTTGGGGAGAAAGCACTCATTAACCCCTCTATATTTTGGGGACAGCTGTGCCACCTATAACATTTTTGCAGTTCTGTGCTCTCCAAGACTCCTTGCAATGGCAGGCTGGCACAGAGCCTGTGTCTTGCAGCATCCAGATAGCTTCAAAGCCAGCCCAGAGAGAGAGGAATGAGCTCTTGGGCCAGGAACTAAGGAGGAGAAAACCAGTTCACGACTGATCTATTTTTAACAGCATTTCAGCTTGGGATGAAGCCTTGGCGTTCCCCACGGCTGGAGGGGCTGATGCTGCCTGGACAGGGCAGGGCACAGTGGCTCAGCCAAGCATCCAGCACCAGTCCTGGCAGCAGAGACTGGGCTGGGACACTGCCCTGGTCCCCAATTCAATATAACACCCAGCCCTGCCCCAGTAGAAAGGCTGATGGGGATGAGGAAGCAAAAGTGATGGAACAGATGCCCCCAAGTATCTCTCCCACCATCCTATGCTGGGCAACCTCCCCTGCTCCTCACTGTCCTCACTTCCCTGGGCTGGCAGCACTGAGGCTGACGTGCAGCCCTGGGGGTGTTCCCCCCACCCTGAGGGCTCTGACACCCCCCCAAGCTCCTGCCACCAGCCGGGAGCAGGAGGGAGATGGGTGGGAAGCGAGCGGCTGGCAGGCAGGTGCTGCGAGGCAAGGCAAACACGGCGCCGGCTGCAGCGCCAGAGACCTTGAGATAAGGCTGAGCTATAAAGGATGAAAGGTCCGGGCAGGGCGAGTGCTGCCGAGGGACACTTGGACCATTTATCAGCCTTTCAGAGCAGGGCAAAGGGAAAAGCAGCCCAGTGCTGAAGGAGATGCTCAGTACGTGGCACAAAGAGGGTGACCAAGGGAAGAGCCACACATAGGCACAGAAGGGTTGGCAATGTCCCCAGCCTCCTGTCGGTTCCTCTCATGATCTCGGACAAGGAGGACGTGGAGATGGATCCCCAAACAGGTAAGCCAGCACACCTTCCTTCCCCGGGCACCTCCACCAACATTGCTGCCCCCCCGGGCACTCGCCTCCCTCCCCACTCCGCCGCTTCTCCGTCTGCTCTCCCTGCCAAGTGCTGAGTCTCAGGAAAAACAGTCGCTTCGGATTTCAGTGCGGCCTCCTTGGCAGCTCTCTCCTGGCTACAGGTTAACAGAAATGCTCTGAATATTCTCCTTCTGGTTCATCCGGGCACGTCAGACCTGGGTGCATCCTCCCTTGGGCAAGGAGGGGGCACGGCAGGGAGCAGGGCGAGGGATGCAGCCAGCTCTGTACCCTCCTTGCTGTTCTAGGGCTGGGGGCCTTACATGTGGAACTGTAGAGGGGATGAAGCAGATGGAGAAAGGGTTGAAAGGCTCAGGAGGTGGCTGTGCATTCCCAGCCCAGGAAAAGCCCTGGCTGTAGTGTCATGAGGAAGGAGGTTGTGGACCATGGCGATGGGAGTCATAAGCTGGTCTCGGGTACAACCACATGCAAGATTGTATACAGCTGGGCACATCAGCCTTTAGCTGCGATTTCTGTTTATGGCAAAAAATACACAACTCCAGGCACCTGCCCAGGCTTGGCAGCCCTTTGGCATATTGGGGGAGCAGCAGCAAGGCTCTGCCCTGGCTCCAGCCCCTGTGAGCAGCCAGGACAGGGCATTGCCATGCCTTGCAAGAGTGGGGCACAGCCAGGAGCCTCTGACCGAGCACACTGTTACCCAACACGAGCAAAGCTGGGGTGGGGTGCTCGTGCAGAGGAGGAGGCACACACAGCGTGCCTGGGCATGCACGGCAGAGGTGCCCTGCACTGATGCTACCAGCTAGCAGCAGGTAGTTCTGTGCTGGAAACCTTGACCCACGGTAGGGCAGCCCTAGATGTGATGTTCCTGAGACTCCCCTGCCTCTCCCTGCACCCTGTTTTGTTCTGCAGGGCTTTTCTGTGTGAAGACCCAACCAGGCAGTTTTGGCAGGCCATAATTCCACTCCTGTGCCAGTGTTATTTGATGAAAGTGACAACCCCCCCTCCCTGCCAAAATAGGCTCAGGAATCTGGACACAGACTCCTTGTGCTCAGGATACCAGAGTCCTGCCAGGAGAACAGCAGAAAGACAGCAAGAGCTGGGCTCACGCTGGAGCATGGGGGGTCAAATTGTCATGTCCTCAGCAGGACAGCAAGTCATCCTTCAGGTCCATGCCTGGGCTGCCCAAAAAGTGCACATGGGACCGAGAGAGGATGACCCAGCGTGCCTTGCCCCAAGCATGGGGGACAATGAAGCAACCAGAGATACCTGGAGAGATGCAGAGAACTTACATCAGCCTGGAGGCAGATTTTGCTGTGGAAAACCAGCTGGAATGCTGGCACAGTGTCCAAATATTTCTAAGACCCTCAAGCTATGTGAATGGGTGAGGCCCAGGATAGCCCTGGAGCTGGATCCACCTTCTCCTGGAGGGTGGGTTTCTCCGAACACGAGCCACAATCTCAAGGTGCTCCCTGCCTGCAGGGGCATGGCTCTCAGCAGTGCCTCTGCTGCCCATGAGCTCTGAACCCACCTTCAAGACCCTCCTACAGGCAGCGGGGACCTTGCACTCCATCACAGTTCCAGCAGCTCCATACTCATCCTCCACAGCGGCTGCATGAGGAGTTGCAAACCCCACAAGAGAGGGCAGCAATGCAGTTTTCAGAGCAAGGAAGCATCAGGGAGCACAAGCACGTCAAGACCAAGAAAATGGCATGAATTTCCAGTCCAAAATGTTTTTTTCCCCCTTTTTTAAGGACTGGCACGTCCTTGGTTCTTCCCAAACACACGTGTGGGAGAACAAGAGCAGACTCCTTCCAGGACATCGCAGTACTCTCCGGTTACAACGCTGTGGCAGATTTACTGGGCCAAGTGCCATCTGGAAGGACACGTTGTTTGAAAAACAAGGCTGCATTTCTCGAACAGCACATTATGGCTCCAAACCCAACAGGAGCAAGTCGGCAGGAGAGCTGTAACAGGAAAACCTGTCTGGGTGTGGAAGGGATTTTCCCTTGGGAAGGAAATACTGGGTGTAGCAATGGACAGAGCATCCTCTTTTAGATGTTCTCCACGACAGCACATGGGGTCTTTCTCTGCTGCCAATCTATTCCTAAAAGACCTCTCAGTGCTCTGCAGCTGGGCTAGGAGGAAAGCCTCTTGCCTAGCCAGCCTCTGCACCGAAACACGCTGTACCTGGGCTGCTGCAGCAACAGCTGGCAGGAATAAATGCCATATTCACTTACAAATGAAACAGGGCCTTTCGAAGCACATGTTAAAGATCTAGCCAAGAGGAAACCATCAGTTGGTCAGCCAATTCCCC